CATCTATGAAAAGCAAAAATGTGGCAAAAAAAGGACGAGAAAAAAGCAACTAATTAAAAAATACAACTCAGGGAAATGGACTCGCATTAATCTGGTGCTTTTTTAGTTTCTGAATGAACAACCTGATAAAAACTTATCTATTTTTTTGCATTTTTGCATCTTATGCAAATGAGAAATGCATAATTTCGGGAGGATGCCTGTGTGTGTGCATCTGTGTGTTCAGAAGCGAGTGAACTTTGTCATTCATTTTCAACCCAGTAACGAGGGATCCATTATGCAACACTACCGTCCCAGCCGACGACCTGCTCTCCCACAGGCAAGAAAAGACTAAAACACAGGAGTATAAGTTGCACGTGTTAAATTGTACAGCAACAGCCATTCATACTATTAACGATCTGATTCCGTCAAGTTAAGCGCAAAAACGCATGATCGCACCGGCATGCCTGGTACTTTGCTAGCTAGGCTTTATATCCCGCGAGTTTAAGTAAGTATGTAAATCAGGCCTGCATGTCGCGCTAAAGGCTGTCCATGCCTGGTCTAAACCATCCCAACCAAGAACTCTATCCAAGTCGAATAAGCCGAATTATTCAGAACGAAGAATCATTCTATGAGAAATAACAAAAAATCATTTTACGAATAGATATTTAAGCAAAAAAAACCTGTTAGAATGATGACATCGGCCGAGAAACTGGTATGTTTGACAAATTGAGCTAATTCGAAAGCTTGCGAAAGGCGATGAGGCAAATATAGGTCATTCGCTCGATTATACTCAGCATGCAGCTAGAATTGACAAAATTTCACTTTTTGGCTAGGAAACCAAAATTTACTAAAACCCCCTCTAATTCCTAGTGCCTTTACCCCTCACATCGACTGAAATATGAAAAGTGATATCAACAAACGCAAAAAACCTGATTTGTAAGAAAAATTCCAAATTTTTTTCTTCCTCCTCCTCTGCTCTCCTTCCCCTTCCCCACAAGAAATTCAGCGAAAAAAAGTCCAAAACCTTTTCGTTTTACGCCAAATTATGCACATTTTCTCGCTCATAGAGAAATTTAACTCTCCCCCTCCCCCTCCATGCCCCTCCCCTCCCATTCCCCACAAGAAGCTCAGCCAAAAACGGTCTAAGCCTTTTCGTTTTACGGCAAATTACGTATATTTTTTGGCTCATAAAAAAAATTAGAAAAAAATTTGAATATGAAAATAAACATACATGAGTAGCATAGTAATTGATGCGATATTCTCCAATTTCAATTTCCACCATTCCAACCACTTTTCCACCAAACCAATCACCCCTGACAGATGCAAATTTATAAAAGTGCATGTAGTTAAGCCCTTCTGTAGTTAAAAATACCTCTGTGGATGGGAAAACCCTTGGGCTATCCTATTAGTGTATATACCCATAGGCGGATCCAGAACAGCTTCCCGAGAGTTTGAGGGGGGAGAAGAGGGAAATGGGTCTACCAGTGCGGTGACAAGCGGGAGGAGAGAGGAAGGGGTAGGGTTTCTGGGTGAACGGGGCGATGGGGCGTGCGGAAGAGAGTTTTCTTCAGTTTTAGCTTTAGACCAGAACTTCTCCAGCATTGGAGTCTGTGCTGCTGAAGGGGAAAGGGGGCGAAAGGCCATTCCCTCTCCCCCTTAGACCTGCCTATGCACATACCATTACCAAGGTCGCCCAGATAATAGACGCAATGGGAAAATACGATAATAATAATAATAATAATAATAATAATAATAATAATAATAATAATAATAATAATAA